ACTCCGTGACCCGCCAGGGAAAGGGGGCCTAGGCCCATCCAGACCGGGGCCCAGTGCAGCAGCGCCCCCCGGCCCCACAGAGCCCGTGTGTCCCGCAATGTAAAATGAGTTTGACACCTCAGGTTTAGAGGCTCCGTCATTTTGGGTCACAGTGAATAAAGTTCATTTTGTAAAATACGGCCCATCTAAAAGGACTGGTGGATTCTCCAGTTATGCTCATGTGCTAATGAATCGTGAATAACAAGTTCAGTTTCAAAATATTAAGATGGTGATGTCAAAAACGCTTTCGAAGAAAATAAGTGACAACAGTGGCTACGCCCAGCTTTTATACTGCCAGTGATGCAGGGTTTCCAGTATACGCCCCAGCCCACAGCTGTCTCACCAAAGTATCAGAAATTCTATATTTAGAATTTAGAATTATATATAATTATAATTCCTAAATACTATTATTATTATTATCCTATTCTCCTTCATATTTTCTGTATTTCAATTTTGCTGTCATCTTTAAGTAATTTTTTTAGAGGTGTGTACTCGAGTTACAGAAAGGTCCGGTCAGTAAACGAATGCCAGACCTCACAAATCTACCAGGAGATTCAGGAGATGGTGTCACGTAATCTTTCTTTCATCTGCAGTTCTCATGCTCTTCCTCATCTGGTAAGCAGCTATCAGGCAGTCAGAAATACGTGTTTCTCAAATAACATCAAAAACAGATCCTTTTTGTAACACTCTAGGTAGTCTGCCGCTCCGGGAACAGAGAAAACATACACTCCTACTTCCTCTGTGATCAAATTTTTTTTTGGTCTTCACAGAAACTAATCACCAAGAAATTTGATGATCTCAGCCTTCAAGTATGATCAATTTATTTGTGAGCTGTTGAGGAAATGATAAACCTTAGATCATGAAAATATTCTGCCACATAAAGTTAACAGTAAAACCATTGTTATTAAATCAGTAATAATCCTGCAAAAGGGCAGTACTGCAGGAAAGTGCTATTTGTCCATTATATTCCACTGACTTAACATGTCGCACACAATGTTAAAAGCTATTTGTGGAACACAGTGGACGTACTCGGGCTCGGAGAGCTCGCTGAGCTGAGGGAACTGTACGGGCCTGACTGCTGTGCGATCCCTCTGGATCACCTCCAGCACATACCTGAGAGACCAAAAAACCCCGGTGGTTAGACACAGACCAGCTTTAAAAAAAAGAAAAGAAAGAGGCACACGGGCTAAAGATTTTCACTAGATAACAGGGAAAGGGCTGGCTTTCTCTTTTGTGGCTTAACTAATATATATAAATTACAGTCTGTGACATTCAAACCCTTTTCAAACCGTTTACACAAGCTTGTCTGTGCCTTTTAAATCTCTTTGTATTTCACAATATATTTGAGATTTCTATCTGCTGACAGCCAGCAATGACTTAGCTCCCAGAGCTGAAGAGGGGAGCAATTGTCACAAGTACGACAGAGCAGGGTACAGATATGGCAGAATATTATATTCTTTGGAAAAACTGAAGAACTAAACAAGAGGACATGAGTCATATCTGTTCTTTTACCTTTGCTTAGGCTGCAATGTTCCGGACTTCATCTTCTCCTCCTCGAGTCGCCGGCAAACCTCCTCCAGCTGAATGAGGGGGCTGGGAGCTGGGTTGGGCGGCATGGTGGGATCCTGGATGAAAGGGTGAGACGGCTGCACACTGTTCCGCAGCTGACCACTGATGCACGGATGCATCGACCCTGTTGAGCCGAGGCGGGATCCTTCATGTCCAACAGTCCTTTTGGACCCAGTGGTGCTCCTATGATAAAAAACATATCAGCAATTTATTTAATAAAATAAAGAAACATGCTTATTTTAGCATATTTTAGCTTTACTTGTGCACTGGTGACGTAGTGGCATGAGCACATGTCTAAAATGTTTTAGTTTTATTTAATTAAAAAAAAGGGAAAAAAAATTATGTTTTCTAATAAAAGGTAATCACTGACCCATATGGGCTTCTCTTATGCTGAACCATTTCTTTCTGTCCTTCCATCAGCCACAAAAGGATCTTCTGGTTTTTCTCCATCTCCTCTCCAGGCCCCGGCATGTCATAAGGCCGCAATTCCTCACCTCTCTTTGATGCTCTTTTACACTGTGTGCCACCTCTCCCGCTGCAAAATAGAAAATAAATAACTGATAAGTAGAAAACAACAGGTATTTTTCATGTGTGAATTCAGTTTTTCTTAGTTTGTTCCTTACATGTACCCTGCATAGTCCATGGGGTTGGATCCCATGCCGTCTGCATAGCTGCGAGACTTTGATCCGTAATGACTTGACTCGATGCTCCAGGGAAAGCTCCCATGCACATGCGTGACTAAATCAGCCTCCACCTGCTCTTTGGGCTTGCCCACGCTTGTGTGGTGGCTATGGTGTTTGTGGTGGTACAAGTGGCTAGTTTCTCCCTTGAAACCGTGCCTGGATGCATGTTTACCCTGGCCTGGCATCCCAATCCCTTTTATCCCTGGGAAACCGTCTGGTGAGCGCGACTTCGGAGAATGACGGCCGGTTCCCGGCGACTGGCAGCCCGGGGTCTTCATGACTCGCTGCACGTGATCGTCCAAGATGCTCTCTGGGTTTTCTTCATGAGCATCTCCGACAAAAGGAGCGCTGTAGGTGTTGTCAGCATAGCGCGGGTTGTAATTCTGTGAATAAGCACCAGGGGGGAACCTGTGACTGGATAATGATGTTGCTGTGGCCATCATGACTTCGTCAGCCTCCTCTTCCTTTAGCACAAACACATATACGCACAATGTAAAAGATAAAACCTTGAAATAAAAATCTAAATAAAGATAAACACAACATATAACACAAAGAAAACACAAAAAAGGCTAACCTAACTTATAAATAATGTATATATACTCGTAGCATGGATTACAATGAATGTTTAAATCATATAGCAAATATGTAAACATGCATTTTATTTATTCACCAGCTGTGTTCCATGTGCACTATCAGCACAACTGATGCTATTCCACCAGGCTGCAGCTGCAGGACTTAATTCAACCTGAAGATGGCAGGTTTAACCTTAAGTTGAAATGTGTGTTCTCCTTCTTAATGCAGCAGTTTGGAGACAATCTATGAATACAACCGTTTCAGCATCCAAATAGCATATTTCTGTGGCTTCGTGTCATGACAAGCAGAATTGCTACAGCTCGAGCGCTGACTGACTGGGACAAAACTCTCTGGCAGACTCGTCTCCAGGGGGATTTAAAGGGTGGGGTGCTGCAGGCTTTCATAATAGGTTTTGATAAGCAGGCACTGTAGGAAGTGCAGGACGTGCAATGTTAAACGGAAAGAGTGAACGGAGAATGCCAGTCAAGAACTGCATGGTCATGTTGTTATTCCTATATGGCCCAGGATCTCACGCCTCTGTTAACAGAAATACTTTATTCTAAATGAAATACTGACATAACAAACCAACATAAAACATTACTAGATTTTTTTAATGTAAACTTCTAGGAGTGTAATGTCTCTAGAAATCCACACTTGAGCTCGAGCATAATACTTGATGTGAATGATATTTTAGCTTAGCACTAGCATGCTTCACTACTATACAATAAGGTCCCGTGGCTATTTAAATGAAGCAAAGGGCAGATTTACATGAGCACTTTAAAACTATTTCTCCACCTATTCAAACACATGTTGTTTACACCAAACCAAAATGAGCACCTATTTACAACAACGGCTCTTGACTTGTGGTTAAAACTGATGACACAGTCATCATGTAATCCTACTGCCCCCTGTAATCTCAACAGTCATGCCAGTAGGTTGTCCAGAGCGACAGTAAAGACCTTAAGCATTCAGTTTTACCCTGATAATAATATATTCATCATAATTTCCCGGGGAAATTTGGATAAAGAGAAAACATTTTATTGTAGGTGGAGAAATGAGCACCATACGCCTTTTATTTTGCCTCCTGTATAAAGTTGGGAACATTTTGGCAGAGAAAGAAGGTAAAGGGGAGAATATGTATATATGGAAAGACAGATTTTACTTTTCATTTTTAACCAGCACAAGCTCAAACCTTTCATGCCAGTTATGTCAATAATTAAATCAACCTTCAATAGATCTCCACTTGTAAACATGCCAAACCATCTTTTGAGCGCTGCCTCTGTGCTCGCCATCCTCTTACTCCAACTGTGTGAAAAGGAAACTCAGCCTGTTCATACACGCAGTTAACTTTCTCATGCCCACGGCTTTCTTAGATGCAGCTGTATTGCAAAATATGACCCATGCAGCCAAGTATTTTTTGGCAAGTTTTTAAGTAATTGATGTTTCTTTACATCTCCGCGTTCCATCCGGATATCTGCGCTAGCCGAGCCCACAAAATCCACACAGAACAATGAAGAAGAGACGAGCAGATATTTCAAGGAATCAATGAGAGCCCTGCTCACAATCTTTTGCCGATAATTTGCTTACTCCGTACAATAATTACATTATGTGAAGTCCTAATCAAATTTTGTGCAGAATGCATGACGGAGCTGTGGAAAGCTGAAAAGTTGCATTGTCATGGAATCAGATTTTGGATTTTTTAACAAGATGGCACACCCTTAAAAATCTAATTTTATGCTACAGACATAACTATATCACATTTTACTGCTTCTAATATCCTCATTTACAAGCTAAAACCCAAGCTCACATTTCCAAAGTATTACTTGATGAATGGCGTCCTCGCCTCCCGTTTCCACAGGCCAAACCTTCAGCTGCGTGATGGCACCTTCTTTCCTTTCATAGCTACCCACATAAATTGCCTGCCTTGAGACTTAATACTTGGCACCGTACACTGAGGGAGATTTCATTTGTGGTTTCAGGAACCATTTCATCAACATTCAAGTGACATCAAACAGGCGGCTCACTGTTCCAGGCTTACAAGTGGCGGCATGTGCAGGTGCTCCATCTGATTCACAGACAAAGCCAGATTGCTGACAGGCCAAGGACAGAATTCTCCAAGTGATTCATAATGTTTTTTTATTCCCTATTCAAATGGTTGGCCTCATTAATTTCATTAAGGCCAGGTGGATTTAAGTCTCCTTTGTTACTGAAGACTTAAAGCTCAACGGCCGAGCACACACCTCACAGTCTGGCTCAGAAATAAGCATCGGTACAATCTACTGTTACACTTCAACCAGCAATCTGCTTTTCAATAAGCTTTCACAATCTATTCAAGTATTCTTTTATTAAAGTAAACCAAACTTAGTAAATTGGGAAAACAGAGCTCTTTGATTTTACCATTTGCACTGTGAGGACTTTAAATGTGATCTTTAAAACCAGCCCTTCATGTTGCAATCACAAACAATCTCTGACTCAAGCTTTGCAAATGAAAAAATGTTTTAAGTTTAGTTCTTTAGGTCACTGTACTGCATTTTTCATTATTAGCTGACATATTACTGATGACATAGCAAATAAAAAAGAATTATTCCTTTGTCCCAAAGCATTTTTAACTTTAGGAACTCATAGTTTAATTTCCCCTATCCCCTCATCACTAAAATCCTTCAGTTGTGTTACACAGTAGTAGCAATATTCAGCTCCTAACACTTCCTCACATGACTTGAATGTGTAACCAGTAGCTCTGCACTGTTGAGACTATATTAGAGGTCATTCAGTGAACACGTGGTTCCATTCAGCCTGAACCTCTGTAGAAACCGCTAAAGGATGCTTCTTATTCATATAAATTAGACGGAATTAACAAAATACAGCTTCTGATTGTTCTTTCAATAGTATACGCTTCTTCAGAAAACAGAGAGAACATACCAACTGTACTCTCTTCAGTCGTTCCTCTAGTTTCTCCTGAGCCTCCCTCTCTTTCAGTACGCCCTCCAGTCTCCTGATCAGCTCTGCAGCAAACCTTTCTGGCTCCACGTGTATATCCTTTGGAATCCGGTTTGGGCGCTGGAGAAAGAAATGTCAAAATGTAAGCACTGCTGCATTACTGTCAAAGCCACTTCAGCAGTCCCAGGATGTTTTCCCACCTTGGCCTCCAACATCCTTTCAGCAATCACATTAAAGTACTTAAACATAAGCAGGAAGACATTAAACTAGATGGTGTTGAGTGTTAAAAACACCAAAGGGATAATAAATTTAAGTATTAGCAAATGTGCCACAACTTTACCACTAAATATCACTAAAGCTGATGGGCTTTTTTTCAGTATGCTTCATTCACTGCTGTAAAATACTCTTAACCTTGCAAGTCTGAGTATTTGCTCAAGACTGATTGGTGTGAACCATGAAAAACCTTAAAAGAAGTATTAACAGTAATTATTTCTGAAGATGTGGGTTTGCTCCCCAGCAGTAGGGACTCACCAGTTTGGTATCTGAATCATTTAGTCTTCAATTCAGTTAATAATATTTCATAAGTATAAGTATGAATGGTAAAAATACAAGAAATGACCAGACGTTAATCTTATTGAAGTTTTAAGACATGAACTAAAAATATTAATGATAATTTTAATGAGCTAAAACTGTTTTGTTGGAATAAAATGGCACAAAATTATTGTTTGTGCTGCTTAAGGAGGTTCTCTGACATAAAAGTAAGATAAGATAACTCTTAATTGTCATTGCACAGTCATACCTCGTACAATAACACAACGAAATTGGAAAACTGTCCCATGTCGCCACTAAACACAAAAAAAACACAACACAGTAAACCTTAAAGTGCAAAAAAAAGGTATGAATAATAAATTAAAGAATGAATGTTCATTGTGCATTATTGCCCCCCCCCACAAAAATAGCTAATCAGGTCAGCTGTTAGCACTGATTAGGGCTATTGCCCCGTTGTAAAAACAACAGGGCAATGTAGTTCATATATTTAACTAACATAAAGATCAAATCACATTTTCTCATAAACACAGTTATCTTAGAAATACATCACTTACATTATTTTACTTACTTACATTATAATACATATATTTGATAAAGGTGTCTTTCTTTGTGAGGACATAAAGAGATTTAGACCAGATTTAATAACGGCCTCATTCTACAGATATGTGACAAATTCAATTTAAAGCAGGAATGCTTGGTCCCTACAGTGAGGGGGATCCATCAGAGCTGTTATGCTGTGGGAGCATTTTTCTGGCATAGCTGGGCCCAACTAGACCCCTGCTTTTCCGGGTGTTCGTCTTTCATGTCTGTCATGATGGAAGTAGTCTGCTGAATTGAAAGACAGTCATGCGTAGGTCTTGTGGGGGTTGGGATGAGTATCAAAATGATGTAAAACATATGCTACTGCTTTTACCATAGGCATATTTAAACCTTGTTAACCGACTGCAGATTTAACACACCACAGTCACAAAAACTCTAAATGGAGGCTTTGGGAGAACTGTCCAGTAGAGTTCCTGGGACCTCGAGAATTAACACCAATGAGCACTAAAGCTGTACCAGCATCCATTAGCCCTACACCTTAGAAAGACAGTTAATGTTGTTTTTTGTCCTTTTAAATAAGGTTTTAAATAATATTAAGCACTGCATGATTTCCTTCCACTTTTCCACCACTTCAATTTATTTCCTTGTTTGATTGCTTTTTTAGTGTACCTACCTTTAAGTATTTGTATGTTAATATAATTACATTGTCATTTCAAATAAAATAAATTCTACTGAAATTCTACTTAATTACACAGGAACTGCAACTTTAGTCTTGGTTTTTTTTGTAAAGTGTACAATTTCTTCTCCTGTCAGTGTATGCAATTACACTGCAATCTTACCTATTCAAACTGTGCCCCCCGATTTGAATCCAGTAAGTGCAAAAATAACTTGACAAGAGACTCTTCTTTAAACATATTTAAAACATAATCTCTGTTTTTTCTTATTAAAAAAAAACTGAAGAGTAATTTGTTAGGGGTAGAGATTTGGACTCTTCTATATAGTCAATTCTTACATCTTAATGAGAGGCTGGATGAGGCATTTTAATTTGACGCTTTACTCCAAGGCCTAATTAGAGCTCGAGTTTCCTACCAAGAGAGAGCAGGAGCTGCAGAGGGAGGCATCAGGCTGTCACAGGGAAAGGTTCATGTCTACTAGGCTTCAAGCGCACGCAGCTTAGGAAAGCATCAAGCTGCATTTAGACAGACTACTCTTTCACCATCAGCTATTCTTATACTCCATCACAGGACCCCGCGACACAGCAGAGCTTAAATATGCACATCTCCAATGGCGGAGCAGAGAAAAATAAGCCAGGAACCGACAGCTAAAGGTGTCGAGGCAGAAATGGAGAGAAAAGGGAAATAACCCATGAATAACTCACTGGAATATGAGGTAGTGGCACTAGCCCATTTGCTCTGGCACTTTCATGCATCTCGCGGCGATGCTGCTTGCGGTATCTGTAGGGTGGAACCCCATCTCTGGAATTAAACAAAGACATTTTCATAAAACATGCTCATGAATAAACAACAGAGGCAGCTTTGAAGTTGAAAGCTTTTCACAGAATTTGTGCCTAAAATGAACACCTAGATAGTGATTAATTCGTAAAGCAGGACAGGTATGCTCACAGGCTAATAGTGTCCCTTCTGCACAAGCGGCGTTGCACATTATGGTCACATATCACATGCAGAAGAGTGTCATTTTATATGATATTACTCATTCTGGGGTTTTTTTCCCGTTCTGGAAGTCCTGGATCAGTTAGCTGATAACAGCCTCTAATCCATTCAGCTTCAAAAACATTTTTGTCCAGTTGTGCATGCTTTGAAGCTTCGTTGGCTGAATTCCCCAGTGTCATATCTGCAACTAAAAGTCTTTATTTTGCATATCTTCATTCAAAAGCACACAACTGGCTATGACTTAAAAACACTGAAATCCAAGTTGCACTAAAATATATACTATTCCCACATATAATAGGATCCTGTCTATTTTATTGGTGAAGGTAAAACTGTCATTCCCCTAAAAGTTGTAACCTGCATAGCCTTTTTTAACTGGTACAACTGTGTGTGAAATGTTTGGATGAAGCCAAAATACATACACACTGCTGTCTGTAAGGGAAATGGTGTCTGCGTCACTGGACATGCTCTGTTGCTCACTGTCATTGGCGCTGGTGGCAGGAGCCATAACATGGCCAGTGTTGACGTAGTACGGGTTGATTGTCTCCCGACATGGTGCATGCCTGGAAAAATGAGGGGAAAAAAGAAAGAAGAAAAAAACAAAAAACAGGACATGCTGACAAAAGGGTAACAAACAGAAGTAGACCGAGATATGAAAGGCATCCTCAAGTTTTTTGGATGATTTCTAAGGTAGTTAACATACCAACATAAAAAAGATTAGAAATGCTACATCTTGTAAAACACCAGCCTTCAGGCCAAGAATCAGTTGAACTGAGTGCATTAATGAGAAGTCAGTTTTGTTTTGTTTTTTGTGCAGTATAGGCAGCAGTGTGCTGTCTTCACAACTTTGAAGCAAAGAATAAAGGAGCAGAGGGCATACAATTTGCATGTAAAAACAAATCAATACATGAATGAATATTTGTTGATTGATTGATATTTTATCTTGCTTTTTTTAAACTGAGTTTGCCTCAAAGTAAGGATGAAGTAAGCAGGATGGATAAACTCTATGTCACTACATTCTGGAGTTTATTTGTTCCTGCTATTTATTTTCTGTAATATACTCATTTAAATGTTTTCCATCTGTCAGAAAGCTCTATTATGATAACAGAACCTGCAGCTCTTGTAGCTGGATGAAGATTTCTATCTTCAACCACAGGAATGAGGATAGGAGAACATGAGAGTCCTTCGATTTAATTCTTCATATTTGCTTAATTTTTTGCCATTGTTGGCATAAGTGAGATTGGATTTAAGTTCATATAGACCCACCAATTATACACAACTTAGGTCATTTGCAAATACTATACAGTGTTTTCCCAAGTTTGACAGTGAGCCTAATGCTAGTTTATATCAATCCCCTGACCCCTCCTGACCCCTCGTGCCACCTGACTGCCAGTGATTCACATCTGAAAAATGTCTGGCACAAGGAAGCAGAGGCTTCAAAGGCCATAAACAGCCATTAACTGCGAGTTATGAGTGACTCCGTTTGTTCATACAGTGTAAAAGGTCTTTATCTTTTTTATTTATTTTTTTGCTGCTGTAATATCCTGTCACTCGCACTTCTATCTCTTTGGCATGGCTTACACAAACAGGCTCTCAACCAGAGTAAAGTAAGAGCAACAGAGAGCAAGAAAGGCTAGCAACAGCATTTTTGATAGCATTTCAGCATGTAAAATACCCTGTGACTCAAATGCCCTGTGTGCCCTGTGGCTCAAATCAGAGTCACAGGGCATTGGGGGCCTATTCCAGCTGTCATAGGGCAAAAGGCAGGGTACAACCTGGACAGACCACCAGTCCACAGCAGGAACACAGAGATGACCATTCACGCTCACATTCACACCTACGGACAATTATAGGATCACCTTACGTGCATGCTTTTGGATAGTCGGGGGAAGCTGGAGTACTTTGGGAGAACACAGGAACTTGGAGAACATGTAAACTCCAGATGGCCTGATCAGGGATCTTATTGCTCTGAGGCAACAGTGCTGACTGCTGTACCATCATGCCATGCTCTTCAAATTCAATACCAGAGTATTGGACAGTCAAATGTCAGACACATCCAGATGCAATTTTTCCTCATAGATTTAATGAAATTTTGGGAAACTTCTTTTAAAACCTTTTACATTTTTAGAAAACATTTCTATAAATGTTTTTCTGTAACTGTGAGACACCTGCTGCTGCCTATCTTGGCCAGGTCTCCCTTGAAAAGGAGGTTTTTAATCTCAATGGGATCTTCCTGGTTAAATAAAGGTTAATAAAAATTATACATGAAAGACATCGATACTTTCTTTTCAAATTGCAATTTCCTGAAGTCCTTTTTTCCTTGTTAAGAGCCAGAGTTCAAAACAAAATCACTGCACTCAACTTCATTAACATTTAGCTTATAAATATGTTATAATTATGAATAATTAGAACGCCAGGTTAGCAAAGGGCTAGTACAAGTATAAAAATTGCATTCTATCAAAACCTTTAAACTGGTAATTGTGGAGTATGTGGTAACAGTTTTGATACAACTGAAAGAAGAAAAGGTGTTATCTGTTTACTGGTTTCTTAACCCACCACCTCTGTTCAATGATAGTCATTCACTGGGTACATAGATGCTTTCTTTAAGGCCAGAGTATTTCCGGCCCGATTGTCGCTTTTCTCGCCACTGTAACATTGTCTCAAATTGCAGTATTCTCCTGAATGATAGGTGTCGCAACTCAGATAATACTGGCACATAAATACTGATATACAAGGAAAATAAGCCAAAACCAGAAGCAAAGATTTGACTTTTTGTTTTTTTGCAAAGTTTTCGCAAATTCACAAATTCTCAAGTTTTCAAAACGTTGCAAAATCTTCCTCTGTATATCTGTAAGTCTCTGAGCTTCTGTGCTGGAATATCATTAAAGTGGCCGTAAAAAACCCGACACGATCGTACACTCGTGTCTTCAACCCAGCTTCGGCGCCCGGTTTCAAAAGCGGCGAGGTACACGACCTGACTGGCTGAAGCGCCACAAAGATTTTGGCATGCAACACACGAAGCTACGTCAAAATCAGCACACGACACCCGCGATAATGAGCGTAGGGCCATTAGTCGTATCAAACCATCTCCGTCACCGAACACTGAACACTCGTCTCTTCGATACATTCAGGCATAGCTCTCGAAACGTGCATTTCAGCATTCTTTGCCAGCCAGGAAGAAAGCATGGGTGGCACTGGCAGTTCAAGATTTTAACTTGAAAAATGCAATACAGTATCTCAGTATCTCTATCTAACTTACACAATATAAAAATTGTGACTAATATTATTATTCCATGTGCAACTCAACTCTACTTAAGCCTGGTGATTGTTGTGGGGTGGCTTTTAATATTACTCAGAGGCAACAACAACTTTCATTGAAAATAACAAATATAGTGAAGTCGTGCCTTTGAAATATAACTTTAACTTTAATGAGAACAAATCTGACTCGTTCACATTGCAAAAATCTCCCAAAACATTAATGCACATAAAGGCTATTCTCTTTCAAGTCATCTGATTTCTTAAAGCTGTTCTGAAAGACTATTTAATGTCTCTTGTTGCCTGTCTCTGAAGAGATCTGACAAAACTGCTGTAAAATTTAGTTTCACAAAAACCCAATGGGTGATGCTTTAAAAATGAAATGCTTTTTTGTAATTCTGGCCAAATGCTTGATTGCTGAAATAATGATGTGGAAATAAGCTCACAAGTGTGTTTCAATCACAACTTAAAACCTCTTTATCAGTTGCCGTGTAGATTTTCACCAGCAAATGCCCGAAATGCCTGCGGCAGAAGCTTTTTTTTTTTTGTTCCTTTCTATATTTTGGATAAGATTTCAAACATTCATATCCTCCAACAGAGCCTTTTGCATTCTGCACTCTGCAGATATCAGCTAGTAAGAGCCTAGGTGCCCACAGTGAACGAATTTGGAAAGAAAGGGTAGTAGTCATGCTCACGCTGTTTAACTGACCAAATGATTATCGGGATTTTTTCAGTCACAGATACATAGTACGGGGCTGTGTTCAATATTGCTGCAACAGAGAACTTTCTATCTGTAAGGTACTCTATGTTCGTCAGCTGATGTAAATTCCTGTCCCCACCATCATACCGCTGCTACTGCAGGAACAGAGGTCAAACATGCCAACATTTTTGTAGTCTGACAGTGATGCAAATTGAAAATTATACATAACAGCAAATTAGGCAATTGCGTTAAAGTCTTACAATGTAGCTATTTACGTTGTAGCAATAACCGAACAATGCTACAAGTGCTCCTTGTGAGATTTCAACAGTGACGCACACCAAACATGCTTCTGTTGGACATTTTTACTGCAAGAGTCCTTAACCCTCTGCTGAAGCCGTAACCTTAGTTCACACTAAGTTTTAGAAGTTGACTTCCTATCAGCCCTTGTAACAAAGTTTCTGTTTCTAAGCGGCTTTTTTTTAAATTTAACAGGATTATAATTTCCTTTGCCTTTGAATCATCTAGATCCTGGTCTAAATACTCAGAACCTACCAAAGCCAATAAAATATCACTTCTTTCTGTCAGTCTCTCGACTGCTGTATGTTGGAAAGGTTCCATGCATAAAATATCACTGAGATCTACCCACATATATTCAGTACATTCTGTAATATAACCAACCTTAAACCAAAGTTTTCTTTCCCTTCATACAGCTCCGAGCTATTAATTATTATCACTATTATGCATATTTAAATATCAAGGAAAAGATTACCAACAAACCTAAGGCCAGCCTATACAAAAAAAAAGAATAAGAAAGAAATCCAAGTATTGCATCAGTGAAGATTTGTCTTGTTTGATTAATCAGACTTGGTCTTCCGGGGCATTTCCAGTTCACTCATGCAGACATTACCAAATATAACAGCACATAGCTATAGGTAATTTTAATAAACCACCAGTTCTGTTCAGCTGTTAAGAATGCAATCAGAAATATCAGCAGTGGAATAAATACTGTGAACAACAAGAGCATGTGCAGGAGCATGACAGGCAAACACAAAACAGTACACCTCGACTCAACACTTGACTGGCGCTAAAAAGCCAAGACTTTGTAGACCTGGACATTGGTATGCAGCTGATGTGCTTCAGAATACAAAAAATGAACTTTGTCCCAATTCTACATAACACATTCCACTTTTTATTAGCATATTTTCTTTGACTTTAAGCTGCACTATTGACTATGTAATGTACTGAAAGCTTGCAGCAGATGTGTAAACTGAAAAAAGATCATATAGGATTGTGCATTCCAACATGTCATATTGTTGTGAAGATTTTAATATTTTTGTGAATTAAAATTCAAAAAGGATCCCTACTTTAAGGATCTATTAACAGCCCTGGCTAACAGTAAAAAAAATGTTTGGGAGCTCTAGACTAAACAGTCAAACAGGATTTTTGCAATATTTTATTATGGAGCCCTCATATACAGAGGAAAGGGAAGGCAAAGATTACAAACTCCAGGGTCAATGATTTCAGGAGAACTCCTCCTTAAACAAAATCATTGTTTGACTCTTTCAATACAAAGTCTGTTCCAGTGCCTAAACAAAACACATGATTATTAGAGCGCCCTCACAAGCACCACAGAGATTTCTGCTGCAACCTCCAAACAGTCGGTAATGCAGCCTTATTATCTTCTGAGATTTGTTCACCACCATAAGTGCAAATACTTAAAACTCTCTACACTCACAGTCACATCAGCCCAAGTGCTGGTGTGCAGTTTCAGGGCTTTTTTATTTTTCTAATTCAGCAGTTTTCAGAGGAATGCTGTGCAGCTAAAACTGAAGTGAAGCTTTTTCGATTGCTCGGAGGATTTACCTGTACTCGTGACTGTCCTGGAATCTTGTGCTGTTGGCAACTCGTTGCTGTGCCGTCTCCATCAGCAGCTTCTGAGTCAGACGGCTGCTTGGCGTGGGGTCGCACTCAGGCAGCTCCTCTGGTCCTTGGTCGCATCTCCATTCCTCATACTCCTTTAAAGGTGGTAAATAGCTCGATAGCCCCTTTCCATTGCCAGAAACCGAGCTCTGGTCACTGTACAACTTTGGGCTTTCACCCCCTGTCCGTGTGTATTCCAAATATAGGTCAGATTTAAGGAATAATGGATAGGTATTTTCCTCCATCATAGTCTGTATTTCAGTCTGAGCCTGATCAAACATGGCAGGATCAATGTGAAGCTTCATCACACAGTCTCTGATGAAGGACTTTGTAGCTGGTTTGATCTGTCTAGAGACAATCCCATTGTTGTCCAGGATGTATTTCTTATATATCAGCTTTGCCAGTTTCACCTTCTTCTCCTCAGTAACCTCACTGGCTTCAAGTTTCCGAAAACCACTGCAGGCAAACCAGAAGTCCAACATATCTGCACATTCCTCTTGCTTGAGGAACGTCCTAAACAGCAGGATGCCATCCTGGTCATCCAGGAGAGAATGAAGAGATTCCGCCCACTTTAAGTAGGGTGGTGTTGGCGAAGCGCTGCCCTCCGGCTCGTAACCCAGGTCCAAGTCAGATCGCCTGGGTGTAGCCACAGACGGCTCACATTTGAGGCTCTCATTCTTCGAGGAGAAGCCGAGGTTGCTGTGCTGGCGACCATCACTGCATATGAGCTCTCCTTCTTCACCGGGGACAGGAGGTCTGGGAGCATCCTCAGTGAAGCTGCCTCCTAGGTCTGCTAAGTAGCCCCGTTTGTCGCTTATGCTCATAGTCCCAGCATCCATATACCACGTCCCCGTAGAGCCCACACTGCACAACTATTCGATCCAGAGTTCTACTTATGCCACTGCAAAAGAACTCCTGCAAGGAGGAAAATTTATAATGAGATGCAGCTTCAACACGTCATAGAAAGGCAGTCTTTTGCTACTCAGTGACAGGGCACTAACAGTGTAACATTGCTCTGAGGTTTTTACAATACAATTTATTCCACACTGAGAAATTCACAATCAATAGAATACCAATGTGGTTTTTGGGCTTTTTCTTTCTGTTTTGCCAGATTTTTTTAAAGCAGGTAAATAAATATCACTTATTTCTGTGTCAGCTTTTGAAAACTACTCTAAAGCCCTAAAGCACATTGATCTCACATTTGAGTCATGTCCAATAACACACCCACAGTAAAAATCAGTACAGCGGTACTTTATAATCAAAAAAGCATAAAGTGAAAGAAAAGCATTCGTGCGCTAGGATCAGATATTCGACATACAATCTGCAAACCTGAGCAGAAATCGAAATCTACAGCTATTAGGCCTTTAATATGCGCCGAAAGTCTAGAGGCGTATTTTTACTAGACAGCAGTATGAATACAGTGTAGCAAATGCATATCATTAGCTCACACATCTATTCCAGTTTCATTCAAATTAGTATTGGAAGGGTGAAAATTCACTTGGGGTTTACAAAATTAAATTGATAATGAAGCAGCCCAAGTCTATTTCCCACTAGCTGACATAGCAGTACTGCAAATGACACATTCTACATCCTTATGCCATATTCTCGTTTTATATGATACCCCCTGGTGTTAGGGAAGGACCTGGGATGGTGTATCAAATGATTTTAGGGATCAAGGACACATCTTAGTCTTTGTGTAATAACCAAGTGTGCTGCTTTTTTGCTAAGGAACGACACCGTAGAGCCCGGATCTCCACCTCTACGCAGTACGGACTGCTTAGCTTATGGCTAAGCTTCCCAGATACTGTGTCAGGATTCAATTTAAGGTCTAATGCAGCCACAGCTGACCCTTTAAATTCACATATCCACAGCAGCTCCACTACATATCCACTACTTCTTGACAGCTGCAAGCAGATTCAAATCACGGGTAGAGAAGCTGAACGCAAATAGCCCTGACTTCAGCCTAAATCACTTCCCAATCGAAATCCCAGTGCAGCCTACTTGTTGACTAATAGGATTAAATATAAATGTTGCCAAATTATGATTTCAGAACAAATGACAGGTGAGTTTACTCTAGCAAGATCACCCTTCCCTTTAGGGCACACCCACTCTCTTGTCTGGTTCAGTACTGATACAAATCTTTTCTTTCTGATTGAACAAAGGCTGTATGAAGACAAAACTGGCAGCAGCGGCTCTGCTCGTTGCAGAGCCCTGGAGTGTGAGCAGCACGTGCACTGTGCATCAGGCCAGATGTGCTGGAATGAAAATTAGCCCTCCCCTCCAAGAAAACGAGCGTTTCAGGCCTATTAACGATGCTGGTAGGAATAAATCACCCGGGCAAACTGCTGCTACCTGTAAAGACGATGCATCCGCGTATTAATATATAAATGAACGCTTCTGTGCTCTCAGGTGTGCGGCTCCGGCGGAGGTATATTTAGAAGGGATTCCATACAATTTCCGCCGGTCAGAGTCGAGTTAAAACAGGGGGGGGAATGACCCTTTTTTCTGAAACCGTGTCAGTTGGGTTGTTCCTTTGAAGTGAGCCTCTCATCACATCCATGTCTTGGCCTCTCCAGAATGAGCAGAACGACAGCGAGTGGGGGAGGGGAGCCAGAAACAAACTCCACACACACACACACACACACATAGAGGGAGAGAGCGAGCCAGGCCTATCAGCAGCCGACCGACAAGTGCACAACTTTGTCACACTAATAATATCTGTGGTGTACCCGCTAACAGCTGCTAAACTAAACACACAGCATAAGCACCCGTAAACATTTCCCCTACCGTCAGAGGACACAGAGGGAATCCCAGCAACCATTTCCGAACACATTTACAATCAGCAAAGCAAAGCGATGGTATATTTCCCCCCCGATTACCGCAATCCCAATCTCTGAGCAAGGGGGGAGCCATTAAAAAAAGTGACATATACTTAACCGGTGAAAATCTTTCTGCTTGCGAGTGCATCGGGCTATCGGACCGACACGAGTCCCAGCCGACAGTGTCATTGTTGCGAATTGCAAGAGTTTAAAAATAACAAAGAAAGCAGTCCGCTCTCCGCCTCTCCATGGCTGTCTCTCACTGTCTGTATGGAGCTGAGGCTACAGGAGATGATGCACAGCGCCTCGCCTGTTCACTTCACAAACTGCCGGTGTTAAGCTTCGGTACATGTGGTACACCGATTTTTCCTCTCCACCCGCCTCCTCCTCCCCTCTCTCTCTCTTTCAAGTGGTGAAATACATGAAAATTCATGCATAATGCACAGAAATACGACATAACAGCACATTTAAAAAGTCAACCTAAAATAAAACCGCAGTGCAATACGACTGATTAACTGCTACACATATCAGCATCACTGTGCACATTAAGCTGAAAAGCCGGGGTTTTTTTGTTGTTCACATCAGATCTACAGCCAGTATGATAACCTGTGATGTCAGCGTTGCCCTGATTTTTAATCCCTGGTATATATAAAGATTCAAAAATGCTCAAATGTTTACCTTAATGGGTTTGAGGAGCCTTATTTTGTCGGAGTGTGTCTTGCCAGGCAGAAACCATGACACAGACTCAGAATGTATCCACAAAAGACACTAAAGAACTTCTTCAGGGAATGAGTAGCACTTATCAGCAAGAGTAGACTACACTTCAGAGCAGGTTGGGCAACCACTTGTTTCGGAGTCAGAGAGTCTACAGGTTTCATTCCAACCACAGACTGCACCAGATGACTTTACTGATTATTCTACAAGAGCCGCTTTGATCAGTTAAAATCAGCAAGGGTTTACTCTTCCTGTTATGTGCTGCATTCAGGCAGCCTTTATCATAAACTTTTACCACCAGGAAGTTTCGCTAGAACATCTGATAAAGCAGCCATCAAACGTACCGGTACATAACACATAATGATGAGGCCATCAGCTAAACTTTAACATACTAATAGTGTGAAAACAATGAATCTGGCTGGCCTCATTATTCATGATACAAAAAAATATGGTAAATTTTCTGTGTAAATGCAATTTTTGCAAGTATTTTTAAAGCAACTGGGATAAAGAGATCTTGTTCGAGTGTCTTTATGAAGAAAACTGAAATGCATGAATTAACAAATATAATAAGCAGTTTACAATAGCCAATGTGCAGCTGCTGACTGATTGTGTCATTTGAATTCCTCAGCTGTCACACTGTTTTACTGAGCCTAAGATGTAAAGCTAGTGGGACACTATAATAACATATTGTTTTTGATTAGTAAGTAATTACATGAAATCATTAAAAGAAAAAACTAGAGTAGGATAACAGGATACAGGTGTATACAACAAGAACACAAACATTGTCTCAACGTATCACTCCAAAAACCGGCTCAAACCTGGAAACCTTTCAAGTGTGAACTGTAGTTCTTACAATATTTATGCGGGCAACATAAAACATGAAAAAGGCCCAATGCACTGCAGCCTCCTCGAGGCAAAATTGATTTTGTGCAGAAGCAGTTTAAGCATTTTAAGTACCCTGACAGTTCTCTCTTTATAGCATCAGTTACTCTGTGTTATTGTTGTTTCTTCCAAAAGCAAATCAGAATAATTCCAGCACTGTCAATTTTTTAACTGCTACTTTCTTTGAGTGAAACAAAAATAATTTGGTCCTCTAGTCACATATGTAGATCTGTAGTTTAAATCTTGATGTTTTTATGGATTCATTCTTAGCTTTTAACAATCAAACAGGTAATGTTGTGAAGAACAGCTTCTTACGAACTACAAGTGCTAATACAAATAGTTATCCAAACCTTTGTCACTCCTCAGCTGGTTAACTGTAAATCCCTGCACATATTCGTGACATATCGATATCAGAATTTTTAATGGCCGATGAATATAAGATGGGAGATGTTGCATAGTCTGTCAGCCAGGGGGCACTGTGTAACTTCCCAGTTGGCAACACTTGTTTGGAATATCCCAATCATAACAACCAGTTTGTCCGAGCAGAGTCGGGCAGAGCGTAAACAGAGTGTACACAAGTAATCCATGGCTTGCTGTGACAATAATCAAGCATTGTGATGTTATCTTAATAAGGACTCGTGAATAACTACTCCTACCAAATGATAGGCAAATCTGTTTATGTTTGAAAGGGAAAAAAATGGCTGATTATATTTGTAAATGACCATATATCAGTATTGGCCTTAAAAATCTTGCATTGGCCAGGCTATAGTATTATAGTCTTATAGTATTATAAGACAACGCATCACTGTTGTTTTTACTCACTGGCCAGCTGTGAAATAAGGAACTGATTTTAAACATTTTAATTGTTAAAGCCCTTCATGAATCAGCTGCACAAAAATATTACAGGTTTTTTAATTCCATATTTTGCTCCTTAAGGTCATCCCAACAATTTCTCTTCGTCTTGTCTATAATCTAAAGGCAACCATTCTCTGCCACCAGACTCTGGAATCGTCCCACATAAGAACATATTTATGTGCTTATTTTAACTGACAAATTAATCATTTTATCCTAGGGTTTGCATACCATTTTATTTATTTATTGTATATTTTATTAGTTTTTTTATTGTTATCACATTGCCTTGTTATGGGTTCTTGCATTTTGTACCTGTTTTTGGAGACTTGAGAGTATACTATGAAGCAAGATCAATGGGTTAGCGAGCTATGATGAGTTTAAAGTCAGAGTTTTACATGAGCAACTTGCTAAGGCGTACATTACTAAAGCTATTTTAATATCCCCTTTAGTGGGCTACTTGGAATAGTAACATGTGATGTTACTTGTATCTAATCTAAAGTTTCCAAGCTCCAATTAAAAATCCAATTAAAAACAACCAGCAGCACCAAGAGTGCAATCAGCTTTAAAATAAATACATGAACTCCAGTCAAAATCTTTATGTTAACACTCTTGTTGCAGCATTACTCTCTTTGCTTATTTCCAGTAGTGTTGTACTTTTTGTCGGATTTTTTTGAATCATCATGACCTGATAATGTCTACGATTGGAATCATTTTGTGAAAAAGAAAAGTCATATGGCGAGTGAAACGCCTCCTTTTATGTCAGGACACACAAAGCCTGAACCGGAAAACCAAGTTTAACAGAGAAAGTTGAAAGATACCCCTTATCACTGACTGAGAGTTTCAGGTTTAGTCAAGCCAGCTAGCGCAAAGGAAGTGTTGCTATGTCAAACATCTTTTGTAGTATACTCCTTTGTAGTGTTAACTGGAAATTTTCTCCTCCAAGGGTCAACAGCTTCTGGGTCTACATGTTTATATTTGGTGAACACACAGATGGAGAAAAGGCAGATCTGCAAGCAAATCCACCTGCATTACCTTGAGTTTGATTGACTTCCTCACGCATCCTCCAGTAGTGCATCCTTTTATTGAAGATTCCATTGTATTGTTACTCAGCACACATTTCTTCTGCAAAGGTAAAGCCCTTCTCACCCCCATGAAATGGAAAGTCCTGGCTGAAGCAGAATGTCGCCATAACGGTTTGCCATTACCATCCATTTGCTTCTGAAAAGAAAGAAATATTGGTTAAGACTAGTTCCTACATAACTGAAAAAATGCAGGAGTTCAACATTATGGAACAGTTACATTTTCATTTGAAGATGTTTCTGCTGCAATATATCTGAAACCAAAACCATTACTGATCTATATTCAAAATATTCTTGAAAAAACAAAGCTAAAGCTCCTAACACTAGGGTAGGGTGGCCTCATGCCCAACACAATGACCCAGTCCATTACACCGATAGTTTAAAATTGTAAAAAACTATAAAATTGTAGGGTCTTTACTTTAGATTATAAAGTGCCTTGAGGCGTTGTGATTTGGTGCCCTATAAATAAAACTGAATTGAATTAAAAAGCTCAACTTTTTACAGTTGAATGATTGGAGAGAAGAGTCATTCAGTCCCTCCTGAGATAATTTGAGATGTTTTCTTAGTCACCACCCAAGTAGGATCTGTTGCACTACAAAAACCACTGACACAAGTTGACACTGAGGAAAGTACAGGAGTAGGTCAAAGAATCAAGAAGCAGGCAAACCATGCACAATATAGCATCCTCTCTAACCCGGCCTTAGCCCTGCTGCCACCTTTAGTTCAAAGATGAATAACAATCTTACCGTAAATAAATCTCTCCGTTTGTACAAACTCCTCTTGTACAATCAGGAGTTGTGCAACCACAATTGGCACACAGATACCTCTTGAGCATCTAAAGGTTCTTATCTATACCACATGTAATGATGTCGTCACATTGTCTTGCAACTTTGCAACAGGCTAAGATGATATGATGACAACATTACATCTGATATAGATAAGAACCTTCAGATGCCCAAGAGGTATCTGTGTGCCAGTTTTGGTTGCACAACTCCTGATTGTACAGGAGGTGTCTGTGAGTAATCAGAGAGAGATTTCTCATATTACAGTTAAAGTAAATAAGAGGAGGTTAAAGTCCCCAAAATTAACAGATTTGATGGTTCCCAGAAGTCAGTTATCTGCTTTTAACTTCAGCAATTAACAAGAAATAAAATGTGCCTTTCTGCATAGAACTGTCCCTAAAAATAAGTGTGCTTTATCATAAAAGACAAATTCACACTTTGACCTCTTTTGGCATGCTGTCCAAAACATAACACCACAAACTGTAAATAACTGCAACAGTGAAAAGGTTTAAAAACATAAGCTCAAGAAGTCCTGTAACCAGAAGGCTTTTCAAACTGGACCTCTTTGATAGTTTGAAACAGCTGGGTGTGAAATTTGTACGAAAAAAAATGCTCTTCCCTTTCTTTTTAACTACAAATAAATAACCCTCAAGCAACTGGCTCAGCCAAGCTGCTTAGTGCACAGAGGAACAATAGAAGAGGCTTCTCTGTGCCTAACTCTGAAGTGTGAAGAAGTTTTCACTAAAATCAGCAAACCTTTTGTAAAACAAGCACTTTGTGTCAGAATTGTTATGGAAACACACTTGTATAAAACCTTTAAGGAGAAGATTTTACATTTTATTCTTAATTCCTTTATGCATGCACCCATCCTTCATACTAAATTCTAAAAATGCACATTCACTATTCTGTACTTTGCAGGGGGATTTTTTTTTCACAACCCTACAAAGCTACCTTTTAAAAATTGTTCTCATATTTTAAAATATTCTCAAATTACTGCTGCAGTTAAGCATTACCAGAGGACAACTTCATGTCTCCCAGTTCAGCTCTTTATGCATTCTTTTGTTCCACCTGTCAGTGTGGATTTAGGCTCTTTTGTAGGCTTTGGCTGAAACAGGCTTATCTCTGCTGAAGACTCTCTGATGAACAAAGCCACATTAAGATATTTAAATGGAAGCTCCCATTTTCAGTGCACACAATAAAGATTTTTCAAGCTGGCTGTCTTCAAAGAGTTTGCCAAAAGTTAAGAAGTATAAAAGAAACAACGAAGAGGACAATGCATCTTTCAAAGCTCTCAAAACTATAATGTAAAGCAATCGCGGGGCTTATGGACTAAAAACATTCAAAACCGTTGATATGACGAACGAATATTAAAGCTTTTCTGTATTTGTTTTAAGTTCTGGAAATGATCCAAAGAGTAATATCAAAAGACTGTCAGAAAATGTATTCTGATGTCCTGCTGATATCCTTTGTCCAGGCTGAATAGATCATGACTAACAAGTCTTGGAATGGATTAGCCACAGAGGATTGAGCAATTTGCAGACTTGAGTTTATTTTGCAGGATATTATAGCTTGCAGAGCACCATATTCCCAGAAAAAGGGGAAAAAAATCTTATTAAAAGGCCTACATTTCCCATGGTGATATAATACCAAAGACATACATGCAGAACCATGTACCAAATGGCGAAAATACATTGCCAGACATCAGCCGGCTGGAAGAAATCCAAATTAATTTAAGTGTTCAATCTATCGTGGTCTTCACTTGTCTGGTCATCCGATACACACTCACTGGTCAAATCAGATGATGTGCTTTGCTTTTGATGAGAGGGCTGACACAACAAAACAGTACGGCACAGACATGAAAGACGGTAACAGACGTAAGGGAACGATACACAAGACAAAGGAACGTAACACCAATTTTCATCCTCACAGATTCCAAAGCAAACATTAGACCTGCTGGTTTACCTTACTGTGTGCTTCTTGGTTTTGTTGTGCTGAATCGCAGACTACTCCCACCGCTTTTCTAGGCATCGAGTATAGTCCTTCATAGTCTGCAGTAAAGACAGCCGCCATCTTTAATCACAACAGAGTCCATCTGTCGATGGTTCTTCCCTTTCTACCCTCTCTTTCTCTGTTCCAGTCTCTCTGTTCCAGCCCTCTGTTTGTTGTGGGGGGGTTCTTATTTTCCATCCAACATCAAACCACCATATCGACAGGCTCATGGGCCGCCCAGTAGGGGAGCAGCTTGAACATGCTGCATTGGCTGTTGTCCTTTTCCAAGCTGCAGTTGAACTGACCGCATTTATTTTTCTCTGACTTATATGGATAGCTCGCGTAACATATCTCTGCTCTCAGGCCTTTGATTTCAACAAGCCTGGCCTCAAAGCTCCTCCATGATTGCTCCTGAATGCATCTTTTCTTTGGATGTTCTGATTGATGTGTTTTGGGGTTCTCTTTGATTTAGGCCACATCTGTGTAACTACAATTAAATTCATGTATTTTTATTCAGGATTCAGATCGTTTAAGCCTCAAATCTGTTTTAATGTTTTGGGTCTCTTCCCCTTATTTTCAGCTATTCCGTCATATGAAATGTACAAAGAACATCGTTCCTTTAAAGCAAAGCTCAGCTGGAATTCTTTGATTTCACCAACTGAAGCTCAGTTTGACTTAAGAACCTTCGGACGCAATTATAAGTCTAAAGACTGTATTGCCAGCTTTCGTCCAGCTAATGCATTTCATTTAAAGTGACATTTCTTTTTTGCTCCTTTTTGGCTTTCAAAGCTTGAATGCAAAGCCGTATATTGTTTACTGTCACTGTTGTTGCACCAAACTCTTTGAATGAACAATGAAAGGAGTTGAATTTCAAAATGGTAGATGCTCTCACCTTTCTCTCCTGCTGTTTGGCTCGTCCGATCTTATTTCTGTTGTCCGCCATGACTGGGCGCAGTCCCCTGTCTGCCACTCTACAATACTTTCTGCTCATAATGATTCTTACTAGTGTGTTGCTGAAAGATGAGCATCTTTACTTTATATTACAGCTTTAGCCGTGCGACCCTATTGGAGGAAACAAGGACCAGATGATTGCATGCACAATGGTATTGTAGCTATGGTAACAGACCCAACAGGCATGAGGATGTGCACCTAATTGCTTGTACAAATTTTAAAAAGAGAGAGAGAGAGAGAGAGAGAGTAAGGAAAAGAGTGAGAGAGAGGGAGAAATATAAGTATTCAGTCAAATTGAATTGTTTCTTAGACGTCTTGCAGGCTTTTCAGCCATGAGAGGATTTGTTATTTAAACTTACACGTATGTGCTGTGTAAGGCGGTGGAAACAGCCCCGTTAATAAGCAAATGAATGCAAAGAAAAGAGAAGAGATGTGGGTGAACAGAATATTTGGAGAGAGAAAGAGAGATGATATTGCCTTTGTCATGCAGCTTAATCAGTTGCTTACCTTTCAAGTGGATTTCACACTTGCATGTCTGTTTGCGACCAGGGTCAAATCCGGCGTACCCTTCGCACAATGACCAATTTTCCCTTCAAACTACACCAGCAGAGACCTGCAGCGTTGGCTGCCACTTCATCACATTTAATTTACACTATCTACGCTTAAAACTTACATTTAGGTTGCTCTATTTAAAAAAAACAAAAACATATTTGTGCAAATCTGTCAAAATTACTGTCACTTTGTTACTTTGTTCTTTTTCTCAACAAAATTCCAACCGCTTAGCTGTCCAAGTAACTTTACTGTGTATTGCTTTAACAGGTTAGTGCTCTTTTTATGTGATTTTGTACAAAAAACGGAGGAAACAATTATCTTTATTGAGGTAATCTAACATACTTCTGCACTTCTAAAGTTTATTTTATGGTTCTGCATGTATCTTCATTTCCATAAACATTTGCCTACGCAGAGGGACTTACGCAACTTACGCAAACATGCTTGCATCCAGTTATCCAAGAAACTAACAGTATGAAGCTCAGTCGATGAACGTGCGCTGACTGACTGAAAATTGGGCCAGAACAGAAATGGGAGGAATAGAAGAGTTCACCACAAACAGTGGAAACACAAAAAGCAAAAAGCACAGTTGGTGGCTACAGTGGATGCTTTTCCTTTTTTTTAACACTTCATTTCACATCAGCTTTTTG